TATATTGAATATTTTATTTTGGTTTGTCATTTTAATTATGAAAATAATTATCTTGACATAAACTATTTAAAGTATATTTGTATACTTGTTTAAAAATGATATGGGTATTTTTATTTGATTTAAAATTAATTTTATATTAATTTTTGGTGTCAAATAAAATACACTTTGAACATTTAAGTGGAGAAGAATTTTGAAAATCCTTCTCAAATCAAAACATACGGCCATATCAATTAAAGGTTTGACAAATTTGTTTTAACTTTCCTTGATTGATAAATTAGTGGGCTAATTGTTTTGTCATTTAGCTAATGAAAAAATTAATTAAACATCTTTGTTTTATTTAAATATAACACTCCATTTGCAAATTAGAGTTTGTTTTTGGGTGATGGGAGATTCGGCCATACCATTTCAAGAGAGAGAATATATTAGTTTGGTTCCATTAATATCATTTTGGCATAAAGATTGCGGTAGACTCCGGCGTTGTTCGTGTGTCAAAGTTGGAGACCGGACACTTGAACGGTTATGTTTGCACTTTCAACGCTCTTCCTACGACTTCTTCGTTTTTACCGCTTACGGAGAAAGGTATAAATTTCTTATTTACTATAAGTTTTAGTATGTGATTCTGGGCAAGATAATCATGTTAGGATGTTAAAATTTTTATATTCCGCTGCCTATCCTTGCATGGTTACCTTTCACTAGCTTGATCAATCATGGGGGACATGGAGGAAGGTGCAAATGTCCAACGACCACCACTGTTACGTGGACCAAACTACAATTTTTGGAAGGGGCGCATGAGAGCTTTCTTAAAGTCCCAAGGTGGGAGAGTATGGAGAAGCATAGAAACCGGGTGGACAGAACCCACAGAGACCAACACAACACAGAAGGAGAAAAGGTGGCTAAAACCTTTGAAAAATACTCAAAGGAAGAAGCATCTCTGGCTGAATGCAATGACAGAGCTCTCAATGCACTATTTGGAGCAGTTGATAGCTCACAGTATCGACTTATTTCCAACTGCATTGAAGTAAAGAAGGCTTGGGAGATCCTCGAAACAACTCACAAAGGAGATGAACGAGTAAAAACTGCTAAACTACAGATTCTTATGACCAAATATGAGAATTTGCGCATGGACGGTAAAGAAAAAATAGCAGAGTTCCATGGAAGAGTAAGAGAACTTGCAAATGAGGCTGAAAATCTAAAAAGGCCCTTCACTGAAGACAACCTAGTGCTGAAGGTACTGAGAGCTCTACCAGAGAGTTACGCAATGGATGCCAAAGCAATTCGCCAAGCACATGACATAAAGAACATGCACTGGATCAGCTGATGGGAAATCTTGAGACCATTGAGCTTCAAATGAATGAAGAAATCAAACAGAAGAAGAGTGTCAAACAAATTGCATTCCACAGCCATGCTACTGGCGGAGAAGAAGAAGATGATGAAGATCCATCAGATGGAGATTATCAAGAACATCTGTCCCTCATCACCAAGCAGTTCAAGAAGTAATGGATGCAGAAGAAAGGAAGAACAAATTATCAAGCTGAATCCTCAAAGGGATTTCAATTTAGAAATCCAAGGCCAAAGGAGAGCAGGTCACCAACTGATGACTCCAAACGAAGAGGACCTCAATGCTTTGAATGTGGGGGATTTGGACATATTCAATCAAAGTGTGCAAATAACCTCAAAAAGAAACGACAAGCTTTTGTGTCAACCTGGAGCGATGAAGAAAATGACTCTAAAGAAGTCCTAGGGAACAACAACTGTGCATTCACCACTCAAATTCATGATGAAGATCCAGACAGCCTCACTAACCAACTTGTGGCACTTCAGGAAGAATTGGACAATCTTTGTAGAAAACTTGATGAAACCATGCAGCAACTGGAACAGGTTGAAGGGGAAAAGGCAAATCTAAACTATGAGCTTACTCAACTAAAAAGCTATCAAAAGTGGATGAAAAGCGCAGGTGCAGAACAGATTGAAAACCTTGTAGACAAGTCAAGGTTTTATGGAGACAGAACTGGCATTGGACACACTCTACGAGAGAGCAGTAAAACACCACTTGATTTGTTCGTAACAAGATCAAAGATTGCTGATGAAGAACTGAAAGAATACAGCAGAGACAAGAAGTGGTTTAGCCTACTCACAATCATGTAAGGAAACGCTCTCTCTCTCTCTAATTATTACTGGAATTATATTTGCTTCTACTGCAGGAAAAAGGGACATATGAAAAGACAGTGCTACCAGCTGAAGTACAAAAAGAGGAAGAGGGGTACGGCAAAAGGGTTCACCAGAACTGTAATGAAGTGGATACCAAAACACTTGGCCTCAAGCGCCAACTCATGCCTTTGTGTCACACCAGATCAGTGGCTGCTTGATAGTGGGTGTTCTTATCACATGACTGGAGATAAACAAAACTTATCAAATATTCAATCCATAGAAGGAGGTAACGTACGTTTTGGTGGCGGTGCACATGGACAGATCATTGGGAATGGAACACTACATGTCTCAGGGTTACCACCTATCAAAAATGTATGGTTGGTTCAAGGACTAGAAGTAAATCTATTAAGCATTAGTCAAATCTGTGACCAAGGACTTGAAGTGGTGTTCACTCAACAAAAGGGTCGTATCAAGGACAGAAAAAAAATTGTTCTCTTGGAAGGTGACAGAACCAAAGACAACTGTTACAGAGTCACTCCAAATATACTCTGCTACACAGCCAGTGAGAGGGATGCCAAGTTGTGGCACTATAGACTTGGGCATATGAACTACAAGGATCTTAAGACCTTGTCAAGCTCTGGAGCAGTTCGAGGAATGCCCAAAATCACTCAAGTTAATGAGCAAGTATGTGGACCATGTCAAATGGGGAAACAAACACGAGCAAGCCATCCTAAGAAACCTACGAGGTCAACAAGTCATCCTTTGGAGCTCGTGCATATTGATCTATTCGGCCCCATGCAAACTGAAAGCCTAGGCGGAAAAAGGTTTGTCCTCATGGTCGTGGATGACTTCACAAAGTATACGTGGGTCAGTTTTTTAAAATACAAAGATGATGCACTAGATGCCTTTGAAGCACTATGCAACAAAGTCCAGAATGAGAAACAACTAAAGATTAAAAAGGTCATCAGAGTACGCAATGACCATGGAGGGGAGTTTGAGAATGGGCCTTTCGAAGAATTTTGTGATCTGCATGGCATGTGGCACAAATTCTCAGCACCTAAAACTCCACAACAAAACGGGGTGACAGAAAGAAAAAATCGACATGTTCAAGAAATGGAACGCAATGATCAACACATATGGACTACCACAAAATTTGTGGGCTGAAGCAGTTCATACAGCATGTTACACAATAAACCGTGTATACTTCAGAAGTGGAAAAATGGCTACACCTTATGAACTGTGGAAAGGGAGGACACCAAGCATAGCCCACTTTCACATTTTCGGAGCAAGATGTTACATCCTAAGAGACCAGGAGCAGAAAGGGAAGTTTGAGCCAAAGAGTGATGAGGCCATTTTTGTTGGATACTTACCAAACAGCAAGGCTTATTGAGTATACAATAGACGAACAAGAACTATAATGGAGTCAATAAATGTTGTGGTAGATGACCAGCTCTAGCCAAAGACAGTAGATGACTCACTAGAGGTAGATATCTCTGGTAACATACCTAAAGAAGACACTGGGGATGAAGAAATTGAGAAAGATGATTTTACAGAAAAACAAACTGATTGTCCCATAACAAGTAGTGTTCCCACACACATTTAGAAAAACCACCCTCTAGAAAACATCATAGGGTCACCCACTGAAGGGATGAAGACACGAAAGAAGAAGATTGACTTCCTAGAAATGACAAAAGCATACTATACATCATCCCTGGAGCCCAAAAACATCAAAAAAGCACTGACAGAAGAAGCATGGATAAACGCCATGCATGAGGAGCTAGAGCAGTTCGAAAGGAACAAAGTCTGGGAACTGGTTCCAAAACCAGAGAACACAAATGTCATTGGCATGAAGTGGATATACCGAAACAAAACAGATGAAGCAGGAAATGTCATCAGAAACAAGGCTCGTCTAGTTGCTCAAGGGTACACACCGATGGAGGGAATTGACTTCGAGGAAACCTTTACTCCAGTAGCTCGGATTGAATCCATACGCATGCTCATAAGCATGGCATGCATATTAGATATGAAATTGTACCAAATGGATGTCAAGACTGTATTCCTAAATGGATATCCAAAGGAAGAAGTGTACGTGGCACAACCAAAAGGATTCAAAGATTCCAAGCATCCAGACTATGTATACAAACTACACAAGGCACTGTATGGGCTGAAGCAGGCACCTAGAGCATGGTACGAATGGTTAACTTCCTACCTAATCAAGGAAGGATATAAAAGAGAGGGAGCAGACAGCAACATGTTCTATATATGGTACAAATCAGATCTACTGGTTGCACAAATTTATGTGGACAGACATTGTGTTTGGACCCACCTCCAAAGCAAAGGGTGATGAATTTGTCAAAGTAAAAAGAAAGAGTTTGAGATGAGCATGGTAGGTGAATTAACCTTTTTCCTAGGGTTACAGATAAAACAAACCGATGAAGGAATATTCATATCTCAGACCAAGTATGCGTAGAACATGTTAAAGAAATTTGAGATGAGTGACAGTAAGAGTGCTAGAACACCGTGTCCAACACACGAGAAAATCAGCAGGGATGACAATGGAAAAGAGATTGATGCTACACGCTACAGAGGCATCATAAGGAGTCTACTATATCTAACAGCAAGTAGACCAGACCTATGTTATGTTGTTGGAGTGTGTGCTAGATACCAGGCCAATCCCAAAGAGTCACATCATAAGGCTGTCAAAAGAATACTAAAATATGTCAAAGGCACTCAAAACTTGGGATTATGGTATTCAAAAGGGGGTATGGCAGAACTTATGGCCTATAGTGATGCAGACTGAGCAGGTAATATAGATGACAGAAAAAGCACATCGGGAGGTTGCTTCTTTCTAG